GATCCCTTGATCCTCCTGTGTCAGTATCCAGAGCCCCTGGGATTATAGGTCTAGGCTCACATGCCCAACTTTTATTGATTTGTTTAATTTTTGTTTTTTAAGGTTTATATGAACAATATAATTTAATTTTTTATCCATTTATTTATTTGGTGGTATGGTGATTGAACCCAGGGCCTTGTACTTGTGAGGCAAGCACTCTAATAACAGAGGTATATCCCCAGGTCACTATTTATTAATTTTTATGTGCTGCTGAGTATCAAGCCCAGTTTGGGCCCAGCCACTTTCTTCACCAAGGAGATTGGATGCCTATTTCATTCTAATTGATTGCAATTCTATTTTCTGATGATGGAAATATTTACATTGTGTGCCTATAAATTATACTCTTTTGCTGGGTGTGGTGGCACACACCAATAATCCCTCCAACTCAAGAGTTTGAGGAGGCTGGAGGACTAGAATTCAAAGSCAGACTCAGAACACGAAATGCTACACAAATCAGTATGACCCTGTCTCCATCTCAAATACAAAATAGGCTTAAGGAAGTGGCTCAGTGTTTGAGTGTCCTAAACTCAGTCACCAATATTGGCCCCTAAAAGAGTATACTGTATGGCCTAAGTGGTTTTGTACTTTTATAATTTGTTTAAACAAATTAAAACCAAAGCTTCAAATGATCTCATGGAACAGTTCACAGACTCTACTCTGATCTGTTTGTTCTCTTCAATATTCCCCTAAGATGGCAGAATCTCACATGTGTAACAGATATCCATGAGACTCTGTTGTAATTTCCAAGTGTTTTATAATATAGGTACATGCTTTAAAAATGCTCATTAAAAAAAAATTAAAAGGAATGTCATCCATATGAGGGCTAGTCTATTTCCACCCATATAGTTGTTGAATCTAGGAGCCTACGGTTTAGGTCACATGACACTCCAATTCCCCCTTTTCAAAGGACAAAATAATAATCCAAAGCTTTCCCCCATAAGGGTGAGDTGTGCWTGTAKACTTCCCAGTACCCCCTTCCHAGAGGCTGSCAATGGATGGGATAGTRACCTTTTCCCTGGACCATTTTCCAGGATTTTTCTTCATTCAGACTCCCCAGGATGAGCATCCAKTCCCCACCCATGCTGCTGGAGCTGGCAGGGCGCAGCCTGATGAGCAACAAGTCCAGGGCCATCCTGGAGCTGGAGGACCTGCCCATAGAGCTCTTCCCACCACTCTTTGTGGAGGCCTTCAGCAGGGGACACACTGAGGTCCTGAAGAAAATGGTGCAGGCCTGGCCCTTCACCTGCCTGCCCCTGGGGGCACTGATGAGGAAGCCACATCTTGAGATGATCGAAGTGACCCTAGATGGCCTGGACATGCTGCTTGCCCAGCAGGATCATGCCAGGTGAGGGGGACCTAGGTGGCCTGGAAGGGAGCACCCTGGGTGCCAGGGAAGGGATGGATATAGGAAGGGAGAGTGGGTGCTGAATTGTGCACCATAGGCTTCCTGTGCTGACAGCAAGGAGGGGTGGAGAGGCCTAGGCCATACTGAGCCCCATCTGGGAAAGGCTTCCAGATGTGCAGGTACTTGTGGCAGCTGTGGTGACCTATGAAGGAGGCTATACCTGCCCCTGCCTCAGTCTGTACAAGTGGGGGAACCAGGCTGGATGGGAGGGAAGTGGATGGAGAAAAGTGAGTCAGAACGAAGCGGGGGAGCTGGGGGCAGCAGCTAAGAGGTGAACAAGGGGCCTCAGGGCTGAGACTCTGCTGTCATCCCCGCAGGAGGTGGAAACTGCAGGTGCTAGATTTGTGGAATGTTCCCCAGATGTGGTCTGGAGTCCTGGTTGATGCCTGCTCACCAGAGGACATTAAGACAAATCGAACATTGAAACTTGGTCCAGCAATGGCAGCTAAGCCACCCTTCAAGGTTTTCATAGACTTGGGCCTCAGAAAAAGATCCCTGGATGAATTTCTGACCCACTTGTTCCTGTGGGTCAGACAGAGAAGGGACAGGCTGCACCTGTGTTGCAATAGGCTGAAGATCATTGGGAAACCCACCAGCTACACCAGGAAGGTCCTGAGACTGCTGYAGCTGGACTCTGTCCAGAAGGTGGAARTGCATGGTGCCTGGGTGCCCACCACCTTGGCTGCTTGTGCTCCTTTCTTGGGCCAGATCAGGAATCCGAGGAAGCTGCTTGTCTCCAAGGTCTATGTGCCTGCCTACACCTCCCAAGATGAGCAGGAGCAGCAGCATTCCCAGCTCACCTTGCAGTTCCTCAGGATGGACTGCCTGGGGAAGTTCTGTGCCAATGCTGTCTTCCTCCTCGAGGGCCACCTGGAACAGGTGCTGAGATGAGTAAGAGGGGGTGAATATCCTCTGCAGACCAGTTAGAGGAAATTGGCACCACTGAAACTCTCATGGTTAATAAGGCCCTGGAAGGTAAATAACTCATCCTTTAGTTCCTATTGTATCCTGAAGCTAGTTCGCATAACGTATGTTGGAGCAGACTACAAAATGAGGGTCCAGTGTCTGGGACGTGCCACCATGCTGGGAATCCAGTTGGGAGGGACAAAAGCTAGAAATGGGACTGATGTTCCCTCCTTGGGAGGCCTGTCCAGCCAAGGTGGTGGAAAGCAGGTAGAGAAGAGTGCTTGGAATTAGGGAAGCCCCAACACTGACACCTGTCAACAGGGAAGCTCTGTGCTCCCTAGCTGGGAGCAGAGGACCAGCCTCTACACCCACCTGGGGAAGGCTGTTCTGAACTCCAGGTAGTGATCCTGGGTGTAAGGGTCAGGAGCAGAGGTAGAAATATTGCTGAGGATATAGGGTGTGTGCCTCTCAGAGGGTTAACCCAAGTGGATTTTGTTACATCCTGCCCAAATTTGTCCTTCATACATGACTCCCCATGACCTCCTCTGGCCAGACCTGTGACTTTCTGCTTGGCAGTGAGAAGGGGACACAGATACGTTGTGCAAGGCTCACCCTGACATGGGGTGATGTGAATGACCAGATTTTGCAAAAGGCAGCATCCTAAGTGTGGACCATTGTCAGATCACCAGGGTGACTTTGGGTTTGGGCCAATTTGTCTTCTCCCTCCTTGACATTTCTCMTCAGAACTAACTGTCTGGTTTTTCCTTTGGCACCTGAAGAACCCCCTGGAGACCTTCTTGATAACCAACTGCCCACTGTCAGATTCTTACTGGAAATACCTTTCCTGATATCCAAATGCCAGACAGCTCAGACACCTGGAACTGAGGGGCATCAAACTGACCGATTTCAGTCTRGAGCCCCTCCAAATCCTGCTGCACAGCACTGCAACCACACTGAACATCCTGGACTTGGCAGCTTGCTGGATCACTGACTCACAGCTCCAAGCCCTCTTACCTGCCCTGAGCCACTGCTCCCAGCTTGTGATATTGAGCATTCATGGGAACCACCTCTCTATATCAACCCTGAGTGACCTGCTGCTTCACACTGCCAGGCTGAGCCAGTTGAGTGTAGAGCTGTATCCTGCCCCTCTGGAGAGCAATGATGCCTGGGGTACCATCCACTCAGGGAGATATTCCCAACCCTGCTGAGCTGACAGCAATAGTGAGGGACTTTAGGCAGCCAAACATCCTTGTGTTCTGTACTGTCCCCTGTCGTCGTTGTGGCTCCAATTTCATGTATAACTAGGGCCTCATTCACTGCTCCTGTCCAACAGATGCCTAGTTGGGTGTGTTTCAAAAGTGTACCTCTAGGCAATTGGAGTTATAACCAGGATGTAAGGTCACCTTAGATGAAATACAGAGCCAACAATTTCAGACATTGCCTACAGTGTGGTTGCAGAAAGGAAAGTACAGCAGGGGGCTCCATTGGAGGGAAGCCCTCTGAGGTTAGGACCTTCAGGACATGTGTCTCTATAGAGACATACATAGGGACCTGGATTTCTAGAATAGGATTCAGGCTTGATGGGCACAGGAAGATGCTACATTCTTTCATGGCTGGTCCATAAATCCTCAGAAATGAACATTATCTCAAGGTTAGTCTTCTACCGCATCTGCACTGGATTTACCTGGCTTTCTAATGAAACCTTGGGATTCTCCAGKTGCTGATGGAGAAAGAAGGCATGGGGTACTTGGTGAACAATGAGGTTCAGCCCCAGGAAGTCAAGGTATCAAACTTAAATCTGGTCATAATGTGTGGCTACTCTGTGGCTTAACACATGCAGGTTCACAGGGGTGGATTGGAACATTCTATGTAGGCATTGAACATGAGAAATTGCAAGAAAACCTCTTAGTGGACCTCAGTGCCACCCATACATTCAATGCTGGTTCTTCCTCATGGGTCTCCATGTAGACCCAGAAAACTCAGGTCCTGGTCTCTGGGTGTGCTGGGCAAGGGCATCTGTGCATAAGACAGGCCACATTGTCCCACGCCCAGTGCTGTAGGAGGTGTCCATGCTGCACATTGATCAGAGCCTCTGGGCCTCACCAAACCTTGCCTCTCATCCACCTAGGTAGTCTGTCCACAGTTAAACCTTTGGTGCCCCTTGAAGGTACCCAAATTCCCTTTCAGCAAAATAGTAGAATCATATATGTAGATAACACTAGTAAATATTTCAAAATGAAACTGAATCAATTATAAGCTCTAATCAGGGGGGCGGGTAGCACATAACTGAGAGATCTTCCTCTAACACTTCCCTCCACTGAGGACTGGGCTGATGGGGTTGTGTGGCCACCTTAGTTTCCCATCCAAGGATGAGAACAAGGTCCACCCAGTCTTCATTTGAGGTATTCTAAAGCTGCCTGTGGACGTGTTATAATTATGCTTGAATAATTCTCCACACTTAGTGAACTGGAACCCACTTTGATGTGTCAGAAGACTGCAGGTCACTTTTGGAACTGGTTGCAGAGTCTGGGCCAAGCACAGCTGGCCCCTCTGTCACCACAGAGTGATCTTTGTGCCTTGCTCCCTCTTTGAGGTACTTCCTTTTCTCGGGCTCTTAGTCTAGCTTGCATGTGTGAGGCAAGCAGAAGGTTCTGAAGGGCATTCATTTTGTTGGATTCTAGGATCAAATAAAGTCAAAGAAGATCTGCATAATGAGATCTATCATCATGTGTTCTTCTAAGAGTTATCATGAATAAAAAGGGACTTGAAGATTTTTGGGTGCCTCCAGAACCCTTGAACACTGGAAGGATTGTGAGGGCACTTTGTTTTCTAAGCTACCTGGGGATAAAGCACTCACCTCTCTTTGAGTTTCTCATCTTTTGACTCTAGGTTCATTTGTGCTGTGAGCAAGCACACAATTGTAGGATGTCATAACAAACAGGACCTGGTTTGTAAGGGTGGCTGGGTCAGGAAGTGGCAACTGGGTTTCACTCCTTGGCCTCTGAAAGATGCAGAGTCCTTTGTGCACCTGTATCCAAAGACTATACAGCCCCTTCTTTAACACTGTCCAACTTTACCTCCACAATTTAGAAACCCAGAACCCATGCTATTCTAGAGAAATGAGTGAACTTCATCAAAGCTAACTCAGGGAGCTGGGGACGTTTCTCAGTGGTGGAGCACTTGCTAGCATGTGGAAGGGCCTGAGTTCCATCCAAGGCATCACAGAGATAAGTAAACAAATAAATAAATCCAAAAATGATGTGACCACATTGGAAAGGTTTAATTGGAAGAGTGCTGTCTCTCTGTTAGAAATATTCAAAAAGAAAGAACCACCACCCACATGAAAACAATGGAATGCATTCTTTAATTGGTCTGGACAGGTGGGTCAAATTGATGTCCTGAAAGATTTTCTTCTAAAAACAACTGGAAAAGCTGGCTTGGTGTTGCTCAGCTGTAGTTCCAGCAGCTCGGGGGTCAGGCAGGAGGATGGTGAGTTCAAAGCCAGCCTCAGCAACTTAGTGAGGTTGTAAGCAAGTTTGTGAGACCCTGTTTCAATATCCTACCTGCATATGGGGCTCACTGCTGTTGCACCCTTGGGTTCACTGCCTGGTTCCAAAAACAATAACAAACAAGTATGAAAAGCCGGTTGCAGTGGCACATGCCTGGGATCTCAGCTACTCGAGAAGTTTTATGATTTTATTCCTTCTCCCAAATTTACTAACTGGGGCATGACCCATCCTTATTTTTTCCAGTCCCTTGAGATGCAATATTGGCCATTTATTCCAGATCTATTTTCCTAGTGAAGCTATTTCTTGCTGAGTACTTCCCAGTTAGAATTGCTTTTGCTGTATCCCCAGGTTTGAATATCTTGTGTGGCCCTTTTTATTGGTCTGCAGGCATTTTACACTTTCTTTTTTATTGTTATTTATTTTTCTTATTTCTTACATAGATGACAATGTTTTGATTTCTTCAATGACCCATTGGTTTTGGGGGAACACGCTGAAGAATTCCCATGCTTTGTAACAGTCCAGGTGTTCTCCCTGCTATGGATTTCATTCTTATTAAATTTATGGAGATTTATTTTGAGGATAAATGTAGAATGTGTCATGTGCTGTTGAGAAGGATGTTTGCTCAGCAGTGGTTTGGTGGGATGGTGTGTAAATGTCTACTGTGTGCAGAGATGATCTGTCCAGTGCTGAGAAGGGGAGTTGGCTGGGCTGGGCATGTGGCTCAAGCAGTAGCATGCTTGCCTGGCATGTGTGCGGCCTGGATTCCATCCTCAGCACCACMTACAAACAAAGATTGTTTCTACCAAAAAACTAAATAATAAATATTAATATTATCTCTCTCTCTCTCAAAAAAGGGGGGGAGGAGTTGAAGCCCCCACTGTTCTTACTGTGTTGTAGTCGACTTCTTGTTTTACTTTCCAGTAATATCTGTTTTGCACATGTGGGTGCTCGGGTGTCGGGCACATGTATGTGTACAAGTGCTGTCTCATGTTGCTGAATTGACCCCTTTATCATGGTGTGATCACCTTGTCTCTTTTTATTGTGTTTTAATCTGTAGTCTATTTTATCTGACAGGAGTCTAGTCATTCCTGCTCTAGGTTGGTTTTCTTTRTGTGGAATATCATTTCCATCCCTTCACTGTCACTCTGTGTGTGTCCTGAGGTGAAGTGCCTTTCTTGTAGACAGCAGGTGACTGAGTCCATTAAAAGAAGAAAATCCATTCAGTCACTTTACATCTAAAAAAAAGGGGAGTTTATTCCCTTTACATTCAAGGCTTTTTATTGAAAGATACAGAATTATTTCTGACTGGTCTTATTTGTTTTTAGTTTCTTTTTCTGATTTCTCTTTAGATCTTTTTCTCTGTTTTCCTCCCTTACTCTCTAGTCTGATTCTGTGGGTTGGTGTTTTCTTCTGGGATAAGTTTGGATTTCCTTCTTTGTCATTTGTGAACATGCTGTCATTTTTTTTCCCTTTGGGCTTTCTCTGGGATTTAGAAAATTCGTACAGTTACCAAAGAGCATTTTAAGCTGAACAAAAGCTCCCTCTTGTCTGATACCAGTACTCTCTTTTAAAATAAAAAAATCAAGTAAAAATATAACAACCTATTCCTCTTATAGGCAGAATAACAGCCTTTAAAACTCAGCACCCCAAAATTTTATTCAGCAACAGAACAATGTACCCAAGTCACTTTTTCTTTTTCTCCTCCTTTTTTCCCCCTTTGGTTCCAGGAGTAGAACMCAAGGACACTAAACCACTGAGCCACAGTTCTAGCATTTTTCTTTAATTCAGTAAATACAGAGTAGTGGGGAATTGCTCCTCCAGGCAGGAGGCCCCTCCCACATGGGTGTCAGAGGGAGATATTATACCACTGTAGCCATAGTAGGGGGTACTTTCTCCTTCAGGTGAGTGACTCCTCCCACCTGCGTGGCTGGAGAGTTTTTATACCACTGCTGGCGGGGTAGAGGGAACTCTCCCCTCCAGACCAGAGACTTCTTCTATCTGGGTGTCCTGGTAGAGGGGACTTGCAGCTCCAGGAGAGAGACCCCAACCACCTGGGTGTCATGGGGTCTTATATTGCTCCTGGCGGGATAGAGCAGACTTGCCCTTCCATTCGGGAGACCCCTCCCACCTGGGTGTCTGGGTGAGCTTCTATACCTCTGCAGCCAGGGTAGAGAGGACTGGCCCCTCCAATCTGGAGACCCCTCCCACCTGGGTGTTCAGGGGAGCTTGATTAYTTCAGCATCCAAGGAAGAGGGTACTCGCTCCTACAGGCAGGATCCCCACCCAGCTGGCTGTCAGAGGGAGCTCCAATACTGTGACAGCAAGGGTAGAGGGAACATGCCCCTGCAGGCAGAAGACCCCTCCCACCTGGGTGTACTAAGAGCTCTTATATGGCAAAAGGTAAAGTAGAGGGGACTCGCACTTTCAGGCGGGATACTTCTCCCACCTAGGTGTCAGGGAAGCTTGTATACCGAGAAAGCCAGGGTAGAGGGGACTCTCCTGTCCATGCAGAAGACCACTCCCACCTAGGTGTCTGCAAGAGCTTGTATATGTCCACAGCCAGGGTAGAAGGGCCTCATTGCTACAGGAGGGAGACTCCTCTCACCTGGCTATGGGGGGGGCCTCCTGTACCCTCTCAGCCAGTGTAGAGGGGAGTCGACTCTCTAGTCGGGAGACACCATAACCTGGGTTTCAGGGGG